CAGGCCAAAAAAAAAAAAGAAGAATTACAATGACCTGCATACAATTTGTTTTTGGTTGGCATTGGCTTTTCATAAAAGGCGAAACAGAAGAAGTATTGTTGGTTTTACTAAGCCTAAGCCTAAGTCTCTTCTTTAAGCTCTCTTTTTTTCTTCCTTCCCCTTTCATCCCATTACCGTTAACCATTTGCATTTTGTTCCATGTGCAATATTATCACTGATAATGTCGTATCAATATTATCCATTTCCCCCACTCCCCGTTCCCCCGTCCCCGCACTGTTCCGTCTAGTCCACCACCTCGGCGTGAAAATAAAGAAATGTTGATTTTATTGCTTATCTATGTTTGTATTATTGTTGTTCCTTTTTTTCTTTGTTTATCATCTCAAATTTTTCTTCCCGTTTACGATGATTTAATGTTTGATAAACATTTCATCTCAGTTCTATGAAATGAAGTTTTTTGCTTATTCGTTTTCCTTTTACGTTTTATTTTTATTTTTTTGGTATAGAATGATATGACCTGTTTAAGCCGGTAAAGATTAGATTACTGTTTTTTAATCAAAAATGCTTTCTTCCCTCTGTTTTTGATGGAATAGCTCTTAATAAAAGCTAATCTAAAATGTTCGTTTACAATGATGCAAAATATTGATACAGTGCCTGGAAGAAGAAAAATTATTTCTTCAATCTTTGTCGAATCAATTTGAATGAGTGTCGCAGAAGTTGTGAAGTCCCCACGAAAAAAAAAAAAAGTACAACTTATCAATGATGATAATGTTGATGATAACAGTGATGGTTTTAGTAAAAAAATGTCGGTAACAGTGATCTATTTGAGCCAAACCAAAGAACCACGGAACCATTCAGCTGTATCTAATTTTTGAGTATTGATGACATATGCCATATATGATTGATCAATGTTTTCACTGATTACAAATCATAAAATTTTGCCAGTTTTGTTCAAATGGTTATTTTTTATTTCTTCCTCTTCCTTCCCTTCCTCTCCTTCAGTTTAAGCTTCTAGCCGAGTTATTTGAGTGCACTAACAACACAACAACTTTAGCATCAACGAGCTTTTAGAATTGTATAATACCAGGTTTAGGGACTTACTTGAATTTGGTTAATGGACTTGGGTCACGTATAACTGGCATAAAAAAAAAAAAACAGCGTTAAAAATCTAATAACTATTATTCTTCTGCTGTGTTCTCGTTGTTTGGTCAGTAAAATTACTACATTTGAAAATAGCATTGTTATACTCTCACCATGCAATAGCTTTTTTCCATTTGGTTAGCTATTCTTGAGCGGTACTTAAAAAGAAATTAGCAAAATGTTTGTTGAATTTAACTGAATGTCAGTTTAGTTCACATAATCATTTTTACATTTCGTTATTTATTACAATGCTATAATTTGAAGCTATAGCAATAGCTAGAACCTTTTTATTACAGTAATATCAGTCTTCAGATGCTCTTTAACTATAGTCAAATATAAAGCTTCTCAATCATTTAATTTTTCCGTCAATACTATTAGTCACCATCGATGCAGTTA